CCCGCAGACAAGGGTTTCATTTGGATTGTTACCAACTGGTTGTTTTCAGCCTAGATAAACAAAAGCCTCTTTTTTAATTATTCTTTTAACTTGGCGGGCTTGTTTTCGTAGCAGGTTTTGCTGTTTGTCGGACGGTGATTTGCCACCGTTCGTTGGCAGCCCCTGGGAAAGGCGGATCTCCAATTGGGCTATCTTAGCAGAGTTAAAAACGGGTTATTTTACAGGAATACATGTAAAAGAAGTTTTGGTGTTCTGCTGTGAAAGGCGGTTGTACCAGTAAAGCGATGTTCAGTGAAAAACAAATACAAGTGACCCCCCAAAAATGAGTTGTTATGGATCATTTACACTCATAAGTAATCCCAGAATTAATGCAGCGCTAGAATTAGTATAAACCTTGTAAATTTTATATTCTTCTTGTGATATCTCTTCATTAGCGTGGATTAATTTTTAAAACATTACACATTTTGGCAGTTTTTAATCTGTTCATTTACTTTCCTCGCAGCAGGCCACAGCAAGCCCGTCCCAGCACGAAGCGCAGCGTGCAGAGTGGTTGTGCACCTTGACTTGGACTGCTTTTATGCCCAAGTAGAAATGATCCGTAATCCTGAATTAAGAGACAAGCCTTTAGGTACGAGTTGCTTTGCTGGTAATTTGGGGATTATGCATGGGAGAAATTAAAGACGTGAATAAACGAAGGACATGCCCGCGTGGTGAGATACAGGCAGTCGCAGCGGAGCTGTTTCCACATCTAGAGGGAGCAAGGTGCAGTCTAGACTCCATGTAGTATGACTACAAGGTTAATAAATCCTCGTGAGTGTAAGAACAGGCGCTGGTGGACGTGTCTGAGCAGTTCTGGGGTTTGAAGCTGGCTTGCAATGTACGTGGGCACAGGGAGGGCTGAGCTCCACGGGTGAGCCTGAGCCTTTTGACACTGTTGTGGTTAAAGCGTGGCTTATTCCATCCAAAATCTCCATCTCCATCGGTGGAGAAAGTGCATCGTAAAATGACTGTACCGTAAAAAACGCTTTCATGGGTAAAGGGGCCAAAATTAAGTGCAATATTACAATAGGAAAACATAGCTATATGGTTTGGCAGTGTTCTTACCCTCTCAAAATTGAAAGCTCTGCCCTTCTCATAGTCTTTAAATCAAGACTGCTGTGCTGGTTTGTTTGCTTATTCTACAATGTTGCACTCTCATCGAAGCGTAGGCTTTGCAGCGGTGTGGTCTTCCGTGAAATACCAAGTAACCGACGCTTTAAAAACCATTTAACCTGGATTTTTAGGCGTTCAACAGAAAAACATCGTCGTTACCTGCAACTATGAAGCCCGAAAGCTTGGAGTTAAGAAACTGATGGCAGTGAGGGATGCTAAGGAGAAGTGTCCTCAGCTGATACTGGTTAACGGAGAAGATCTGACTCCCTACAGAGAAATGTCCTACAAGGTTACAGGTACAAAATGAATCTAATTAATTAATTAATTAAATTTTCTCTTAAACTTCATGTGCATTTACACATCTGTGCAATAGCATAGGACATTTTCCTGCTCTAAAAGCTCTTAAAATGAGCCTTATACCATGGCAATGTAACATTTCATAAAATAAGCTGTCAGACTTGGTTGCAGTCTGGCTCAGGCACTATAAAATCATCGGTAAATCAGCCGTGGATTGAAGAAACACGAACACCTCCCATTATTAGTTCTGTGCATATCATCTTTGGCTGCCTTTTCCTCCTAGAGTTGCTGGGGGAGTTTTGTCCGCTGGTGGAGAGGCTTGGGTTTGATGAAAATTTTGTGGATATCACAGAGATTGTAGAGAAAAGACTAAACCAGCTACAGCGAAGCGGCTGTTGCAGAGTCTGCGTGCGTGGCCACGTGTACAACAACCAAAGTGAGTTAAATATTCTTTGTGGTGAAAAAGACAGTAAATATTTATGGAGCTCGGTCCAAAGTATCTGTCTGCTCCCAAGTATTGGAAACTTGGCTTGCTCTGTGCTTGGTTTCTGTATGTGGGAGTACCTGTATCACAAATCCAAATTAGCATGCCAATTTCATGGTACAAAAATTGTAGCTCTGTGGTCAATAAGCACATGCAGTGACTCGGCAGAATGTATTTTCATTGTCCTTTCAAAAAACCATGAATTTTACTGTAGTAAGATGTAGAATGCGTGGCTTTGAATATGGTTTGGAGAGGAGGGAAGTGCCTGAACACTCCTTTTCCTCATATGATGTCTGCATGGGTAAGAAAGGCTTAGCTGCAAGGCTGTAAATTAAAGATTTGTGAATCCCTACTACCAAGAGTAGTACAGGAATCTGTGATCTTTAACACTTTGACACCTCTTAATATGTTGTATTTGATATTTAAAATATCCCCTGTGCTTCCTGGACAGTACACCCCTGATTTTGGCCAGCAGATTCCCTTTTACCAGGGTTTTTGGGTGACAGGAGCGAGATTCAACCTGGCTACAGAAGCCATGGCAATACCACTTGACCCATGAGACCGCACTTTCTTGTACTGCTTTAATGTAATTTCAAAATATAGCTACACTTTACTAGAGAACTAGCTAACTAGGTGACTTTACATACCAAACACTGCTTTTATTTTCCTTTGCAGCTATTAATTTGCACGATACAACGCACCTCAGGTTAGTTGTTGGCTCCCAGGTTGCAGAAGAGTTCAGGGAAGCCATATATGCAAGGCTGGGCCTCACAGGCTGCGCAGGAGTGGCCTCGAACAAATTATTGTCCAAACTGGTTTCAGGGACCTTTAAACCGAATCAGCAAACGGTTCTCCTGCCTGAAAGCTGTCCAGATTTACTACGCAGCCTTGACCACATCCAAAAAGTGCCTGGTGAGTGTGGTACGATGAGACTGTAATAAAAATACTGCACAAGTTACAGCTGAAATGACTTCATGGTTTCACTTCTCTGTGGATTTTTTTTGAATCAACTTCTTGTTTTAGGCATTGGCTACAAAACCGCCCAACGCCTTGGAGCGCTGGGCGTTAGGAAGGTGTGCGATCTCCAGGCGTTTCCAGCGGCGGCGTTAGAGAAGGAATTGGGTGCTGGGATCGCTCAGCGTATCCAAAAACTCAGCTACGGAGAGGATGAATCCCCAGTGACTCCATCAGGCCCTCCTCAGGTACAAGTATTGTTCTGAAATACTTTATAAAGAGCTAAAAAATGGCTTTTGGTTCTATACAGGACTAAGCAGAGTGGTGCATTTTGATTTGCTCTGGTACAGCTCAAGTTATTGTATAATTCTCTTGAAATTCAGTTGAGCTCTGCGTGTCAAAGATGCCTTAATTTTACTTATTTACTTGTGGGATTTTTTCTTTTTTTCCTCTTCAGGATTTTGAACTAAATCTAAACCTGAAAGGACTAACGTGCGATTTATTGTCTTTTTAGTCTTTTAGCGATGAAGATTCCTTTAAAAAATGTTCAACGGAAGTGGAGGTTAAAGAGAAAATTGAAGAGCTGCTTCCTAACCTATTAGACAGGTGACTGTCTTCACTAATGACTCAATTTGTGACCTGAAAGGACTCTGTATATATTAGGTTTGTCTCAAACTCTACATTTCTTCTCTGTAGGGACAACACCTGCCTCTCCAGTTCCCCTTTGAGACCTTCCCCACCTCCCTTTTACCCTGCAACTCTTAAATACTCCTCATGCCTTAAAATACTCGACAAACCTTAGAGGTTTTGCATCCGTACAAGTCTCACAAAAGATATATTTCAGTTCCATGAACAAGAAAGAGCTAAAAGCTGACGGTTATACAGGGTATAACTGCAAAGCCTGTATTACTTCTACTATAAAGTACTCCTAGTAATCCTTACTGCTCTGTGCAATCAACGCTCCACAGAATATCCAAAGATGGGAGGCAGCCCCACACCGTCAGACTGACCATACGCCAGTTCTCCGCAACCGAGAAGTGGTTTCATCGGGAAAGCCGCCAGTGTCCTGTTCCACCTCATCTCATCCCCAAGTTTGGAAAAGGTAAGCTTAAGCTTTTTGCAAGTGTCAACTCGGTGCTGCTACCAGCTCATTTCTCTGTAAAATGCTGTTACTTTGAGTCATGATAATATGCCCTATGCTTAAATAGTTGGGAAATTTTTAAAAGAAGAGAGTGAATACCTTGATGGCTTTATTGTCAGATTATTTTGAACTGTAGCAGTGTTTGCCTTTGTAATTTGCTATTTAAATCCATCTCAGTCGGTAATCGATCCTATTTTCCAACCTGTTTTCTTTCAGAAAGCAGCAACATTATATCCCCGTTGGTCGATGTCCTGATGAAACTCTTTCGGAAGATGATAGACGTAGATCTGCCGTTTCACCTTACCCTTCTGAGCGTCTGCTTCTCCAACCTCAAAGATCTTCCTCGCAGCGAGAAAGGATCCATTGGTTTCTATCTAAAACAGATGTCACCACCATCAGGCTCTGGAAAACGCATCCGGGTAAGCTGAAAGCTGAAAATCATTTGCAGATAAAGTTCTGAGATATTTCTATTGGTTTGCAAATGTGACACCCATCTACAAGAA